GAACGCAACACAAGCGCTCGTCCTCAGGTCAAAATTGCGTAAACCACACAGCGAGGGAACACACAGAGGGACATCACACACAGAGAGACATCACACACAGAGAGACATCACACACAGAGGGACATCACACACAGAGGGACATCACACAGAGAGAGACATCACACACAGAGGGACATCACACACAGAGGGACATCACACAGAGAGACATCACACACACAGAGACATCACACACAGAGAGACATCACACACACAGACATCACACACGGAGAGACATCACACACAGAGAGACATCACACAGAGAGACATCACACACACAGAGACATCACACACAGAGGGACATTACACACACAGAGAGACATCACACACAGAGACATCACACACAGAGAGACATCACACACAGAGAGACATCACACAGATAGAGACATCACACACAGAGAGACATCACACACACAGAGAGACATCACACACAGAGGGACATCACACACAGAGAGACATCACACACAGAGAGACATCACACACAGAGAGGGACATCACACAGATAGAGACATCACACACAGAGGGACATCACACAGAGACATCACTCACAGAGAGACATCACACACACAGAGACATCACACACAGAGAGACATCACACACAGAGAGTCATCACACACAGAGAGACATCACACACAGAGAGACATCACACACAGAGGGACATCACACACAGAGAGACATGACACACAGAGAGACATCACACACAGAGGGACATCACACACAGAGAGAGACATCACAGAGAGTCATCACACACAGAGAGACATCACACAGAGAGAGAGACATCACACACAGAGAGACATCACACACAGATGGACATCACACACAGAAGGACATCACACACAGAGAGACATCACACAGAGAGAGACATCACACACAGAGGGACATCACACACACAGAGGGACATCACACACAGAGAGACATCGCACACAGAGAGACATCACACAGAGAGACATCACACACGGAGAGACATCACACACAGAGAGACATCACACACAGAGGGACATTACACAGAGACATCACACACACAGAGACATCACACACAGAGCGACATCACACACACAGAGACATCACACACAGAGGGACATCACACAGAGAGAGACATCACACACACAGAGACATCACACACAGAGAGAGACATCACACACAGAGGGACATCACACACAGAGAGAGACAACACACACAGAGAGAGACATCACACACACATAGACATCACACACAGAGGGACATCACACACAGAGAGAGACATCACACACAGAGGGACATCACACATAGAGGGACATCACACACAGAGAGAGACATCACACACAGAGAGAGACATCACACACAGAGAGAGACATCACACACAGAGAGAGACATCACACACACAGAGACATCACACACAGAGAGACATCACACACAGAGGGCCATCACACACAGAGAGAGACATCACACACACAGAGACATCACACACAGTGAGACATCACACACACAAACATCACACACAGAGAGTCATCACACACAGAGCACATAGAGAACGGCAAACTGCACGGAGGCAAACACAGCAAGAAGATGGGAGACGCGAACTCAACAACTTAATGTGATGCAAACCAGTCGGCCAACAACACAGTCAGACACTCACCTGGTTGACCACGTACTTCAAAAGACTGCTACATTTTTTTGTGTTCATCTTCTGGGCTAAACACACCAACGTAAACAGAGGACAAGGACTCGTGAACAGACACGAGGTACATGGTAGCAGAGATACATACACAGAGAAGACACACAGTTAAAGTAAGTAATTGCTTTAATAGAAAAGCGCGGAGTTCGCGCAGGGCTCTCTGCGCGTTTTCACGCACACCTTGGCCGTGACTTTGAACACAAAAAACATCACCGCATCGATTTGGTAGCCTCGATCAAGAGTCGGATCATAAATAAAATGAGTTCCACTTTGCGGAAGTCAACAGCGACCCCAGTAAAGATGCAACACTGCATTTTTCTTATCTCGGTTAAAACGTTTTTTTTTCTATTTGTACTATTATTGTACCAGGTAAGGGACCGTCCATAAATGACGTCACGCACCTGGGGGGGGGGGGGGGGGTTGGACATTTGTGACGATGTGTGACGAGGGAGGGGGGTTTTGAGAAATGTGACGCCACATCAAAACGCGCAACTTTAAATAAATATAGACAACACGTTCTACTTAAAATACTTTTTGATGTTCTCTCCTACAACATCAGAGTGCAGCGCCACATTAAATACGCACTCCAATGACAACAGTTTAAAGCGATTTGAAGCATGTTTTATTTTTTGGGGGGGGGGGGGGTTGAGCTTTGTGACGTCATATTTGAAGGGGGGGGTCTGACTTTTTGTGACGAAGGGGGGAGGGGGGTCAAAAATTGTCAAAAATCGCGTGACGTCATTTATGGACGGCCCCTGAGGCCCCCACTTGAGTTACGATAGCTCTTTTTCAGAAGCGACGACCTGGCTACATCACAAAATGATGGCTCAACGAAGTGGCTTAACGTACCGCGTGGGAATGCACAGCGGCCAAATGCTCTGAACGCGTGACGCCGATTCCAGACGTGGAGGGAGAAACCGAAGGGCCCGGAGAGAAAAACTCCACGCGACCACGGGGAGAGAGAAAGTCACGCAAACTCCACATATCGGTAACGTTTTACATCGATTCAGGGTAGGGGCGCGGTTGTTTAACTGCGCGTTCCAGTTCAGTTTCAGGTTATTGTGGTATAGCCCTGTGAGTCATTCCGCTCTTGAATCGGGCTCAACCACAACAAACAAAAAAACACGACAAACATCTTAAAGTGACTGTGCAAACAGAAAATCCATGGGAAAAAAACAGCAAAAAATATTGAAACTTGAATTTGGAGCTTTCGTGACTGCAGGAATTATTCTTATATTTTTTTCGGTAAAGTCACGTAGAAATAAGAAATAATAAAATTACATAATAGTGTACGACGTAAAAAATATTCCTTGAAAAAAGCACCGTACACCAACGCTGCGTGCAAAAATAATCCCAGTGGGATGCAAGTCAAACAACAACCACAAGAAAACTTAGATTAAGGCCATCAGTCTAAGATTAAGGCCATCAGTCTAAGATTAAGGCCATCAGTCTAAGATTAAGGCCATCAGTCTAAGATTAAGGCCATCAGTCTATGATTAAGGCCATCAGTCTATTTAAGGCCATACAGCAAAGAAAGAGACCTGGGTTCGTAATCCCCGACTCGGGCGCCTATCTGCGTGGAGTTTTTATTCTTCCCGTCACCGTTCTGGGCAGTGCCGGATTAAGTGCGGGGCCTGCAGACTTTTGCGACGAGGTTGGAATCCGGCACTGGTTAAGCGTGGTCTTCCTCCGGGTTCCTCGGCTTCCACACCTAAAAATTTTAAAAAAACCTATCGACAATTTTTTTGTATTTAACCAGGTGAGGTCCACCGAGTTGTCTAGCTTTTTTTTTAGTTTTTTTTAAAGAAGCAACCTGGCCACAGATGAGAGCCCGACATAGTGGTTTCTCGTGTGGACATTTACCGCTGCCAAATAGTCTAAACGCGTGATTCTAAATGCGGAGGGGTTGGGGGGGGGGGGACCGAAAGACCCGAAGAAAAATCCACACGATCACGGGGAGAGAGAAACGCAAACTCCAAATATACGTTCTAGATTTGAAGTTTTCGTGACTGCAAGAATCCATAACTCTTTTGGTTTTATTCGGTAAAGTCACGTAGGTAAAAATTAAAGTAATTAAATCGCTAAAATCCAAATAAACGGTTTAACACGGAGGATTTCGCGACCAATGTCCTCCATAATGTGCAGGGTGCTTCGAAAAAATGTTAACACTTCCGAGAATTTGCAACGAGACCACAAGAAACGTGCCTTCCGGGATCTGTCGACCACCTGGAGAAGATTCCAGGCCACGTTGTTGACAATGATGGCGAACACGTGGAGACTCCTTGACTTTAAGAAGCTATCGACAGACATTTGTTATTATGTTGGCTCAAGGGTTTGGTGTTATAATTTATGTAGTTTATTGTAAAAAAATTCGGTCACAGTCCCTATGATCGCTGTTACATTGCATTTATGGCTTTTATCTTGGTGATTTCGAAAACGTTTTTTTTGGTTTGGCCACGTTTTTGTTTATTGTAGTACGGAGTTAGACTGATGGCCTTAATCTTAGTTGTCTTGTTGTTGTTATTTGACCTGCATCCCACTGGGATTTTTGCACACAGCGTTGGTGTACGGTGCTATTTCAGGAATATTTTTTATGTTTTTTCCTGGATTTTCTGTTTTGCATAGTCACATAATCAAGAGCCGAATGGCTCACAGGGCTATACCAAATAAATGGAACTATGTTACAGTGTATTATCCGGTTTTTTTTCCATTAAAACTATAGTCCCGTACTAGTGTAAAAAACTTTTTTTTGAAGCACCCTGTATATAAAACCCAAAGCGCCTTTGTCGATGAACGAAGGAGGTTAATTGATGTCCACAAATGCCACGTGGTCGTCTCACGCGAGCCCATCCGCGGTGAGAAGTTAAAGTGGCAGCGGTCGCGGAGGGCCTCTCAATGTGGTAGCGTGGCCGAGCGGTCTAAGGCGCTGGATTAAGGCTCCAGTCTCTTCGGAGGCGTGGGTTCAAATCCCACCGCTGCCAACTGGTAATTTTTTTTATTATATTCACTTTTCTATCTTATAAATGTTATTTGGGATGATTACGTTTCAGCTACATTTGTACCAACAACAAAAAGTACATTTACAATCGTGGTGGGGTTTTTTTCTTTTCTCACGCGTATACATTGGCGTTATTATATACATACACACATGCATTAAGAGTACAGTATTTGTGTTTAAATTTCGGCGTGATCGCCTTTGCCACGCGGTGTCACGTGGAGGCCGCGAGCCGCCGCCGCCGCCACCTCACATGGTCTCTGCTGTAATTCTATGTAAACCCCGCGCACAGTAAGTTTCCCTTCCTGGCGCTGAGCTTTTCACAGAGCGCCGCCGTCGACGTTTGCCGCGTTTATTATTCGAGTTTCGTTTACGAATTCACCGCCTCAGCGCGACAACGCCCGCCGCGCGACAACGCCCGCCGCGCGTCGCCGTGGGGCTTAGGCCGCGACGAAGCCTCGCGCTCACCTGGGATGTGCTACCGGTGGAAGCGGGAGGCTCCGGGCAGGGCCGGGCGACGCCCCCGGCCTGGCCGGCCTCGCAGTTTCTATTCGTGCCGCTTTTGTTTTTTACGTCTTTAAAACCGTAGCGCCAATGCGAACGCGTTGTTGTACGCGCGTGTTGGTGTGCGCTCGTTTTGAGTAATTGACGGTGATTTTGTTGTGTTTTTTTTAAACTACGTGGGGACACGGCTGAGATTCGCGTCTTGCGACTGAGCAGCTGAGTTTCAACCACGTGAGAGCTCATTGAGAGTTGTTTTAACACGCGGGTGGCAGGGCCTTGCCCACCAATGTACATACATTAATGTTCTTTGGGTATTTCGGTAAAGCCACGTAGATAGAACAAATAATAGTATTATTATTCTTTGTATCATTTTTTTTCTATCTACGTGGCTTCACCGAAAGACCCAAAGAATATGAATTCCTGCAGTCACGAAAGCTTTAAGTCAATATTTAATCCGTAATAAATGTTGCCGGTTTTTTTTGTTTGTTTGTTTAGATCGCGTAAATATTTTTTTTTAATAAAAGCCCTCCGCCACCCGACGCGGCCAATCGGTCAGGGTTCGTCGCTGTGACACAAAACGTGCCACATTCGTTACTCGCTCTTTTCCAATTCGAGTACGACGTTTCGCCGGTAACTGCGACCAGCATTATCAGGCGGGCATCCATTGAGATGTGTTTTTTTCTCTCTGTTTAAGCGGTCCCCCTATATTTAACCAGGGCAGGAACATCGCTTTGAGTCGTTTTCTGTTCCGGATGAGACGACAGTCTGCATTGTTGCTATTATTATTTCGCAATCCGTGTTCTCTCTTTACAGATTGTATACATTTGAGTTCACAGTGTGCAGGTGCTCACGTTTCCTGCAACAGTTGTACACACACACTAACCCCACATCACACCAGGAACCCAGCTCTAGCCATGAACCTTGACCCTGACGTGGCATCAGCTGTGTTGAGGCGCTGTGGTGATGTTAACTACCTTGCCCGGTATACAGGAGGTCGTGGGTTCAATCCCGACCCTGACGCCTGCTGCTGTGTATGTGGAGTTTGCGTCTCATCATCATCACGGTGGCTAGGAGATGTTAACTACCTCACTTGGTATACATGAGGTCGTGGGTTCAATCCCGACCCTGACGCCTGCTGCTGCATATTTGGAGTTTGCATTTTCTCCCCGTGGTCGCGTGGATTTTTCTCCGGGTTTAGATTATTTGGCTGCTTTTAATTTGCACGTGATTATCCACTTTGTTGAGCTATCATTTGTGGCCAGGTCGCTTCTGAAAAAGAGCTGTGTAGCTCAGTGGAGCCTTACATGGTAAAATACAACATAGTTTATTTTTTTTAGTTTTAGTTTGTGAGGCCACCGGATGGATGTTCCCTGTCTTCCAAGCGAACCCGGCGACCCGAGTTCGAATTCCCATTCACGACCAATAAACGGTGGCGAATATATGAGCCGGTCTTGCCTTAAATGAACAAAGTGGTACCTAGTCCAGTGTGTGAACATCAGCACTGGGGAGTCAAAGGCGGCCGGACGTGGTGCTGGCCACCTACCTCCTTCGTTTGACCGTGTCGCTAACAGCACTTGTCCCGACTGTCTGTTAAAGACTATGCAGGGGATCACCTGTATCATCGTTTTCTCGAAGTCCGAGGTCGTAATCGTTCATCTGGTAGTACAGATTGAAGTGGAGTCTTGCCCAAAGCTTGGACGTTAACAACCTACCCGAATACCAATGACTTATCCTGAACCCCAGCGGTTACGTCAAACACCCATCAGTAACCATCAGTTCCTTAACCCAACTCCGCAACTCTTACACCAGCACTAAATCTGAAGAGTGATAGATGATATATGGAAAAGGCACAATTGTGACTGGAAGATCAGTTCTCCCATCATGCCTTGTATGTCACTGACATGGCCTTGCCTTCGATTCAAAATTGTGGAGATTTCATTTCACAAATAAGCAGGACAATGAGACATCTGTATCATAGCAGCTTCATCCTTGTGAGGAATCTTCAGTACAGTAATATCCACCATCTATCCTTAACCCTTAATCAGTCAATCTGTACGTCATCGCGTGCGCAGTGGCGAAGACACGTGACGGCGGTGAGGACCTATGGTGAGGGTACAGCGGTGAGGGTGTGCCAGCCTCGTCCCCCCGGTGCCAGAAGTGGTGTCCCGCCAACGCCTACGTGGATACTGTGACACTGACGGGTGGACGCTGTGACCGGTGGACGCTGTGATGAGTGGGTGGCGTGACAGGTGGCTGGTATGACGTTTGGACGGTGTGGCATTTGGGCGGTGTGACGAGTGGACGGTGTGAAATGTGGCTGGTGTGAACGACGGTGTGACGCGCGTGTTTGCTGTGACACGGGAGCGAGGGGAGCGGCAGACTGCGACACCATGGCAACCGCCACAGACGACGAGGACGACCCTATCGTCGAGGAGGTGAGGAGCGAGGACGCACGGCGCTCACACACCAGAGGCTCACGTGCACGTACAGGCAGGCGTACATGCAGCTGGCATACAGGCAGCAGGTACCGAGCGTGTAGTACACATGGTGCCTGCATGCTCGGCGCCTCTGTACATCACGTTTCTACACCCGGCTGTCTGTGTGTCTGCTCGCCGTAATCCTTGTGCGTGTACAGCCTGGTGCCTGTACATTTGCCTGCAGCATGTCTGCCGACTGTCCACCTACTGCCTGTTCACTTGGCACCTGGTGCCTGTGTATTGTAGTTACAAGTCTGCTGACTGTACACCTACTGCCTGTATGTCTGCTGCCTGTACACCCGGCGTCTTCGCCTGACACATGTTGCAGCGTCCGTGACGGCGATGTGCGTGATGTATTCGAGTGTAAATGGCCTTGTTGGATGCTGTTGTGCGTGTGACAGATCGACGTGTACCTGGCTAAGGGGCTCGCTGACAAGCTCTACCTCTTCCAGGTAATTGGCAAACCTGACCATGGGGTGGGGGGTGGTATAACGAAGTAACTGGAAAATTCCAGATTTTCACCAACTCACACTGATCAGCCGGGTGAAGTATGGTACGACGCTTGCCAACTAAAGTTGAAAGAAGCGTTAATACACGAGTTATGTCCGTCGGCCTGCCTGTAACACGGGGGGCGGGGCAATAGCTCTCGTAAAGTTGATCCCATAATAAACAACATTTGTATTATCAATTTCTGTTGCTGTTCGAGGACATGCCCTGCAGAAAAAAACTGGCCACGTTGCCGAACAAGCGCTAAAAAAAATAGCCTTTCCGACCATGGCGATGACGTCGCACGCCACGCGTGTAGTGCCATCACCATAACATCACTCCACGTGACGTCACCTCACGACATCGCTCGCCGTGTGACGTTGCGTGCCGCGTGCTCGGAAGGTCCCGTTATCGTCGCGAATTAAACACATTCCGGGGACAAACGAGCACGTTGGAGAGCGTTGTGGATTCCACACGCACACACGTCTTCTTCTTCCTTGGGTTGCGTGCGGCTCACGAGTCGGCCGTCGCGTCTCGTTTGGCAGTACCCAGTGCGGCCCGCGGGCATGACGTACGAGGGCACGCCACGCCTCGCCACGCGCATCAAGCCCAAGCTGCATAAGGTGAGCGCCGAGGATAGTGGGTGGTGGTGGTGGGGGTGGGCACGGAGAGACCCTCCCCTGGCCACGGGGGCATGGTGCAGGGAAGAGAGACTCGGTGGTTTGGGGCGGCTCCTGCCTTGGACACGAGCCTGCATGTGGCCGGACGCCCTTCATGTGTGTGTGTGTGAACGAACTAGCGAACGTCCGTACATCGCAACGCAGGGTGCGCACCGCGGCCTCCGATCATGTGACCGGGTCACCTCAGTCCGTGTCATCGTTTTCAAACTCCTTGGCATCGCCTCGTCGCAGTCGGTCGCGCGCTTTGGCCTCCGGTGGGCAGCCGTCGTAGTCATCGTCACGCCCTCGATGGCATCAATCTGCTCGTCGTCACCTTTGGGCAAACTGAAAAATAAAAAACGGCCCCGTCGACGAATCGTTTTGTTGGCGATTGCGTTCTTCCCCGAACGAACGGTGCAGGTGGAGCTGGAGCTGGGCATCAACGTGACGAGTCCCAACTACTCGCGCAGCAAGGGAGAGCAGATCGCGCTCAACGTGGACGGGGCCCACGGGGACGATGGCAGCGGCTCCTGCACCTACTCCACGTAAATACTCACCGTGACTCACCGTGACTCACCGTCACTCACCGTCACTTACCGTGACTCACTTCCACTCTCCCTCCACTGTCCCTCCACTCCCCCTCCACTCACCGTCACTCCCCCTCCACTCACCGTCACTCACCGTCACTCACCGTGACTCACCGTGACTCACTTCCACTCTCCCTCCACTCCCCCTCCACTCACCGTCACTCACCGTGACTCACCGTGACTCACCGTGACTCACCGTGACTCACCGTGACTCACTTCCACTCTCCCTCCACTGTCCCTCCACTCCCCCTCCACTCACCGTCACTCGGCTCCACTCAACTCCACTCACAGTAACTCACTTCTACTCACCGTCACTCACCGTCACTCACCGCCACTCACCTATACTCACTGTCACTTGCCTACACTCGCTGTCACTCACCGTCACAATAATCGCCACTCACCATAACGAACTGTTACTCACCGCCACTCGCCTCCAGAAGAGTGACTGAGGGCTTTGCGGTGCAGTTTGATTGGCGCCGCGTGGGCCGTGACTCGGGTTTCCCCTGCGATCGCCGCGTAGGAAGCTGATGGACAAGCAGCTGCTGTGCTCCAGTCAGACGCCGGGGAGCGCGTCGCGCTACGCCATCGCCCTCTACCGCAGGGGTACGTGAACGGGGAGGGGGGGACACGTGGTTTACAGCGGCCTTCTTCATTGCAAGGCCCGACGGCCACTGGCGGCCCCCGACGTGCGGCCCCCGATAATGCACAACACGTGACACCACCGCCCATCGTCATCGTCGTCAAACCCGGTGGTTTCAAATGTGTGCGCGGCCCTCACGCTGATGTTTTATCGGTGAAAGTAGCCCCCCTCTGAAAATGAGTGATGCACCCCAGCCGCAACAACACGTCGTGAACGTGGCGCGAGCGGGAACGGCGCGGGCCCGAATGTGTGTCCGCGTGTGCACGCGTGTCCTAAACCCTCGCGTCCTAAACCCGTGTGTCCTAAACCCGTGTGTCCTAAACCCGCGTGTCCTAAACCCGCGCTTCTTAAACCCGCGCGTGTCTTAAACCCTCGCGTCTGAAACCCGCGTGTCTTAAACCCGCATCTCCTCTAAACCCACGTGCCTGGTCCCCTTTACCCCCACCCCCTCTCCCCCCGTGTGCCGGCAGGCGAGCTGCACGTGACGCCGCTCCAAGGCGTCTTGCAGCTGCGTCCCAGCTTCTCGTACCTCGACAAGGCCGACTCCAAGCACAAGGACAAGGACGCCGCCCAAGACGGTGAGCCGGGGGATGCGCCCCCCCCACCCCCACCCCGTCAGCCCCGCCACCATTCTCTCTCTCTCTCTCGCAGGGAGAGGGGGCCCGTCCTTGCCAGTAAAAGTCGCGCGGTTTTCCCGCGTTGCTCCGGGCTGTCCGGTGCCCGGTGAGCTTCCCCAATGTTGGTAGGCAAGGACCCGTTCTGTAAGACGTGGGTGACAGAAAGCAAAATAATAGGTTTTACCCTTTCTGGCAATACAACAGTTGCGTTGAGATGTTCAAACACCAAATAGAAACATGCAAGGAATGAAGTCACCGCATTAACCACTCGCAGTACTTGTGGTGAACTTGCAAACAAACATGCTCTGATAATATGATTGGCCTACATCAGAGACAGCCCTCTTTAAGCAGACTTCATTCCTTGCAAAAGGTATCTATTTCGTGTTTGAACATCTTAACACAACCACTGTTTTATTTCTAGATTTGAAGCTTTCGTGTCTGCAAGGATTCATACTCTTTGGTTTTTTCGGTAAAGTCACGTAGGTAATATAAAATAAAAGACAACAATTAAATAAAATCACGACGTTTCGGAGGCAACACAAGCTTCCGTCTTCAGGTGGAACAGACAAACCATCCTCTCGGTCGAAGTTGTGTCTATGTTTGTATATTTGAATGGCTTCATGGACAAATCTTTGGTAATAACCGGGAGGTTTGCATGGTACTTTGGTATCAGAGAAAATAATGTCATGATAACCTGCTGTGTTGAAACAATGATCAGCCACGGCCGAAGAATTCATTCTGCCGTGTTTCAAATCTGATTTGTGCTCGCGAATTCGGTCGGAAATATGTCGTTTCGTCTCCCCGATATAGCAGTCACCACAGGTACAACTCAATTTGTAAACACCGGGGTACTGTAAGTCAGGAATGACATCCTTTATGGATGGGTTCAGATCACGGATTTTGTGTACTGTATTGAACCGGACCTGGATCTTGTGTTTGTTTAGAATTTTGGAAACCATCACACTGCCATACATAGCAGGCGTTACCAAAAAGATTTCCAAAATTCTGTGCTGCTGTGCTGCTGTGTTGCAGTGTTGCAGTGTTGCTGTGTTGCTGTGCTGCTGTGCTACAGTGCTGCTGTGCTGCTGTGTTGCAGTGTTGCTGTCTTGCTGTGCTGCTGTGTTGCTGTGCTGCTGTGTTGCTGTGCTGCAGTGCTGCTGTGCTGCTGTGTTGCAGTGTTGCTGTGTTGCTGTGCTGCAGTGCTGCTGTGCTGCTGTGTTGCAGTGTTGCTGTGTTGCTGTGCTGCTGTGCTGCTGTGTTGCAGTGCTGCTGTGCTGCTGTGTTGCTGTGCTGCTGTGCTGCAGTGTTGCTGTGTTGCTGTGCTGCTGTGCTGCTGTGCTGCTGTGCTGCAGTGCTGCTGTGCTGCTGTGTTGCAGTGCTGCTGTGCTGCTGTGCTGCAGTGTTGCTGTGTTGCTGTGCTGCTGTGCTGCTGTGCTGTAGTGTTGCTGTGCTGCAGTGTTGCTGTGCTGCAGTGTTGCTGTGCTGCTGTGCTGCAGTGCTGCTGTGCTGCAGTGCTGCTGTGCTGTAGTGCTGCTGTGCTGCAGTGCTGCTGTGCTGCTGTGCTGCAGTGCTGCTGTGCTGTAGTGCTGCTGTGCTGCTGTGTTGCTGTGCTGCTGTGCTGCTGTGCTGTAGTGCTGCAGTGCTGCTGTGTTGCTGTGCTGCTGTGTTGCTGTGTTGCTGTGCTGCTGTGTTGCAGTGCTGCTGTGCTGCAGTGCTGCCTGGTTGCTGTGCTGCAGTGCTGCAGCGCTGCTGTGCTGCAGCGCTGCTGTGCTGCTGTGCTGCAGTGCTGCTGTGTTGCTGTGCTGCTGTGCTGCTGTGCTGCTGGTAAAGGCCGTGGCGACCCATTGGTTGCGTGAAAAATGCTTCTCATATTTTACGCGGAGAGACACATATGGGAAGGGAGGTGCGTTTTTTATTTCGTGATTCACGTTCTCTGCAATGACACCCGCTGTTCATTTTCCATTGTAGATTTACGTTTTTCATTATCGGTTGGATAACAAATCGGACAATACGGGAAGTGATTGGCGGGACTTGGTGACATCATCGGCATCATTGGCAGCCGTGTCGTGCTGGGCGTGGCTTGTAGGGGGGTTTCCCGCCTTCGGGAGGCGGGGGTGGCGGTGGCGGGCATGCGGCATGATCTCACGATGCAGCTTGACACGTGAAGTTACCGTCGATTGAACGCACCCCCGAGGACAAACGCACGTCGGGAACGCTTAGAGAACCCACGCGCGTGTGCGCGGTTTTCCTTCCTCCTTGCTCTAACTGGTGCTCGTGTTGTGGAGCGCGCAGGCGACTCGTCCCAGGAGGAGGCCGAGGACGATGTCAAGCAAGTGACGGTGAGCGCCGACGAGATCGCTCGCGACCGCGACGCACTCACTCGCCGATCACTAACTCGGGGGTCGAGTTTTACGCGCATTTGGGATTGCTCGCGTGACAGTGGTCAGTCGCAAAGGAGCTTTGCCGAATGCATTTTTTCAAATGATGTACGTTCATCTTACAATTGGCCTTAACGGAGAGGACGTAACTGTGCAGTCGGGAGGGAAACAAAGCAAATCGATACAAACGAGACGAAGAAACGAATTGGCAGTTGAATCAAATCGCGATCCCCGAATAATATCAATAATCATCATCGTCATAGTAACGGGGAAGGGACGGGGCAAGTCGCTCGGTGCCGCGTGACGACGCTCGCCACCATCGATGTCACCGTGGTAGCGCAGCGTGGTGCAGTGACACACAGCGTGGCACAGTGACACACAGCGTGGTGTACAGCATGGTGCAGTGACACAGTGACACACAGCGTGGTGCAGTGACACAGTGACACAGCGTGGTACACAGCGTGGTGCAGTGACACAGCGTAGCACAGTGACACACAGTGTGGTGCAGTGGCACACAGCGTGGTGAAGTGACACACAGCGTGGTGCAGTGACACACAGTGTGGCGCAGTGACACAGTGACACACAGCGTGGTGAAGTGACACAGTGACACACAGCGTAGCACAGTGGCACACAGCGTGGTGCAGTGACACAGCGTGGCACAGTGACACACAGTGTGGTGCAGTGATACACAGTGTGGTGCAGTGACACAGTGTGGTGCAGTGACACACAGTGTGGTGCAGTGACACAGCGTGGTGCAGTGACACAGCGTAGCACAGTGACACAGTGTGGTACACAGCGTGGCACAGTGACACACAGCGTGGTACACAGCATGGTACACAGCGTGGCACACAGCGTGGTACAGTGACACAGCGTGGTACACAGCGTGGTACACAGCGTGGCACAGTGACACAGCGTGGTACACAGCGTGGTACACAGCGTGGTACACAGCGTGGCACAGTGACACAGCGTGGTACACAGTGTGGTACAGTGACACAGCGTGGTACACAGCGTGGTACACAGTGTGGTACAGTGACACAGCGTGGTACACAGCGTGGTACACAGCGTGGTACACAGCGTGGCACAGTGACACACAGCGTGGTACACAGCGTGGTACACAGCGTGGTACACAGTGTGGTACAGTGACACACAGCGTGGTACACAGCGTGGTACACAGCGTGGTACACAGCGTGGCACAGTGACACACAGCGTGGTACACAGCGTGGTACACAGCGTGGTACACAGCGTGGCACAGTGACACACAGCGTGGTACACAGCGTGGTACACAGCGTGGTACACAGCGTGGTACACAGCGTGGCACAGTGACACACAGCGTGGTACACAGCGTGGTACACAGCGTGGTACACAGTGTGGTACACAGCGTGGTACACAGTGTGGTACACAGCGTGGTACACAGCGTGGCACAGTGACACAGCGTGGTACACAGCGTGGTACACAGCGTGGTACACAGTGTGGTACACAGCGTGGTACACAGTGTGGTACACAGCGTGGCACAGTGACACACAGCGTGGTACACAGCGTGGTACACAGCGTGGTACACAGCGTGGTACACAGTGTGGTACACAGCGTGGCACAGTGACACAGCGTGGTACACAGCGTGGTACACAGCGTGGTACACAGCGTGGCACACAGCGTGGTACACAGCGTGGCACACAGCGTGGTACACAGTGTGGTACACAGCGTGGCACAGTGACACACAGCGTGGTACACAGCGTGGTACACAGCGTGGTACACAGCGTGGCGCAGCAATCGCTGAGAGTCGTGTTGCGGTGTTGCGCCAGGTGCGGTTTGCGCGACCGGAGAGCGACCGCGCCAAGCAGCGGCGGATGCAGTCGTACGAGTACATGCAGCAGAAGCAGGCGGAGGAGCCGTGGTTCAACCTCCGCCACCACGGACTCAAGGTGAGCACCATGCACTTCAGGGCTCTCACGCTCGCTTACAAAGACAAGGATCCCCCGTTTAGCCTCAACAGACCGTTGGGCCGAGTGCCGTTAGCGAGCTCATCCACAAAAGATAAAAGATCCCCCATATAGCCTTAACAGACTGTAGGGGCAAGTGCTGTTAGCGAGCACCTATGAAAGCCTACCCACACGCACGCACCCACACGCACGCACGCACCCGCACGCACCCGCACGCACCCACACACACCCACAGGCACCCACAGGCACCCACACGCACGCACCCACAGGCACCCACGGCCACAGACGCCGACGGCAGGGCAAGGCGGTGGACGCCAAGGTGGCACATCTCTCCCGTGGTGCGCGCAGGACGGGCGCGCGGACCACGAGCGACAGTACCTGCTGGCGCAGAGCGGCATGATGGAGGCGTGCGAGCTCATGAAGACGCCCAAGTGAGCGAGCCCCCTAGCAACCCCGCTCACGCTCGTTAACACGTCGGCTCGCGCTCGTTAACACGCTCGGGGAGCGTTCGTTTCGGGGCGACCCGGGTCACTCTTGCAAACGAGACTCTCGCCCCCTCCTCGTGAAACGAAGCCTCCGTGAACTTTTAACCCACCCATCGTCCCCCGTGCGCTTCGTTCGCAGGGAGTACCTCTCCATGCTGATGCCTCCCGTGAAAGAGGAGACGTTGTGAGTTGCCGCCGCACTCGCCCACCCGTGATCCTGCACCTGTTTGTCCGCCACCACGCGTGCGTGTGTGCGTGCGTGCGTCCCCGGTGCGTGGGGCCTGGCATTGACGCGGGCGCGGCGCTGCCACTGTGTTCACAGCGAGGTGGCGGTGGCGCCCAGCAACGTCATGTCCATGGCTCAGCTGCGCACGTTGCCGCTCGGAGACCAGGTGAAGACGCTCATGAAGAACGGTGAGCGCCTAGAGGGTGTGCGTGCGCCTGCGTGTGTGTCTGTGTGTATGTCGGTGTGTATGTCCGTCTCGGCCACGGTCATTCCCTCCCTTCTCTACGCTTGCGAAACGTGGACCCCCCTAATGGAACATCTTCGCCGGTTAGAAACATTTAGGCTGGCCTGCCTTCGATCCATCCTGAGTTTAACCAGATTGGATTGTGTGAGGAGCTCACAAATCCTTGAAAGATCTGGGCAAGGTCCCATCGGTGAGCTCCTCCGGCGGGCAAGGCTGCGATGGCTGGGTCATGTAGCCCGCATGCCCAGCCACCGCATGCCGAAACAGCTTTTTTTCGGCCGGATCGAGGGGGCTAAACGGGCGCGGCACGGGCTAGAGAAGAGATTGAGTGATGTGGTACAGGAGGACGTGGAGCTGAGTGGACTTGCCGATGACTGGTACCAGCGGTGTCAAGATCGGCCTCTGTGGAGGAGGCTCGTGAAGGACGCTACTGGGCAGTTGGAGGTAGTTGCCCTCCAACAACGGAGGGCGGAGGAACGACGCTCACAACAACGAGCGGAGCGCCGGGTGGCTAAAGCACAGCAGGTTGGCACAGTAGGGGGCACAGGTGGTGCATCAGCCAGTCATCTCAGTCAGTCGACCCGTGGCACCTGGGTCTGCCCCGTGACCTCCTGCCAGCGGGCGTTCGACACTTCACGTGGCCTCAGGGTGGACATAGCCTGGCACAAGCATCGTGGTGACGTCACCGCCACTTAGTGGTGAATGGCGGTTGTTGTTATGTCCGTCTGGCCGTTTGTGCGTGTTTGTGTGTGTGTGTTTGTATGTGTGTGTTTGTATGTGTGTGTTTGTATACGTGTGTGGGTGTGTGTGGGGAGCGGCAGTGTAGCGGTTAGCGCGCTGCGTTATGAACCCGGCGACCTGGGTTTGATTCCCGCTCATGGCCAACACCAGTGACGATTATCTGAACCGGTCCTGGGCCTCCCCTAGGTCGACTCAGCCTCAAATGAGTACCTGGTGTGGTGTGTAGTAAACATCGTCACTGGGGAGACAAAGGCGGCCGGGCGTGGTGCTGGTAACCCACGCCCTCGTGTGCTCAGCACTTGCTCCCACAGTCTTGTTAAGGCTGTATGTGCGTGCACTTACCTGTGTCTCCGTCGGCGCGTTGCAGTGAGGGTGCTTCAGTTCTCGCAGCTGATGTCGCTGCTGAGCCCTGGGCTCGACTCGGTGTCTGTGCTGCGCAGCGTGCAGCAGGTGGCCCTGCTGGTGCAGGGCTGCTGGGTCGTCAAGAGGTGGGTGCGCTACCAGCCTGCCACATCCCATCGCATGCAGACCCACGGACTTACACACAGACCCATAAACATGCGTGTAGACCCATAGACTCGCGTACAGATGCGTGGACTTACACAGAGGGGCCCATCGGTTCATATAGGAGCCAATGGCACGGCCATCGAGTGCACAGACGGTGCAACTGCGCCGCTGCCTACGGTCTGGAGGAGCCCAAGAGAATCAACTCGCGCCGCTCGGGAGCTCGATCATGGGGGGGGGGGGAGGGACGCGGCTTGGGCCCGGAATTCAAACCCAGGATCTTGGGGGGGTGCCGGCTCCTCGCTCCGACTTCCGAGCCGCCCGACTTCTTGAGTTCTGTTTTGATGGACGTTGATCCCTTGTGTGCATCCCCCCTTCCCCCCCCCCCCCCCCCCCACAGCGAGGTGCTCTACCCCAAGGACTCGCTGAGCCCCCACAGCGGGATTCCCGGCGAGCTGCTGTGCCGCGGCCGTGACTTCGTCGTGAGTCTGCCCAACCGCGCGCCGCCGCTTCCCGTTTACGCCCCGGGGCCCTTTCGCCGTTCCGCGCCGGGGCACCGCGGCGGCCGCGAGGGTCGTTCTTGAGCGGACTTAACCTCTCTGGCGCCGCGCCGGTTGGCGAAAATTATCGATTCTCGCGGCGCCCGCCAGCCCGCCCGCCCGCCCGCCCGCCCGCCCGCCCGCCGACGCGTGCATCGTTGATCGTCGGGCTCGAGGATCGATACGAGCGGCCGCGTCCCACGGGTGCCCGGTGCAGACACAGGGAGCCGGTGTGGTAGTCCTAGTAGGGGCAGCGGGTTGTCCGCCGGGCAGCGGATGCACAGGGGGAGACCCAGGAACTGGTTGGGTTGTCGCTCACCGCTCATGTCGGGCATGGCTGGGAGCGGAACTTGTGTCGCGGTGTCTGGACTTTAAACCCGACCCTACTTTTATTTTTACATATTTCCTTCTCCGTTGTCGTTGAGCCAGGCCACTCTTCTTACAAATGAGACGAATCCCGGTCTCCTTGAGTTCTCGCCTGGTTGAGCAAAAACAACTCAAAACCGTTGCGGTGCGTGCGTGCGTGTGTGCGTGCGGCCGTCCGGCAGATGTGGAGGTTCACGCAGGAGAGGATGCTCCTGCGCAAGGACGTCGCCGGAATCATCAAGGTGGGGTGCGACGCACGCGTCACACATGCGTCACGCGCGTCCGTCCCGCTAACTGGGAGAGGGAAGGTCGTCAACGATGAGGGTCAGCGTTGGTCGCCTGCGTCAATGCCGCCGCGCTTCTCAACCACAACCGCCCATCCATCGCGCTGCGTGGTCAAAAACCACCACCACCCGTCGCCCGGAACCCAACCATAACCAACAACATTTCACCTAACCACCACCATCCACCACCTTTGTCGTCCGACCACCACCGCTCACTACCCACCGCCAACCCGTCGCCCACAATCGAACCACTAGTCAACGACATCCCACCCACCACCACCGACTCAACCACCACTGCCACTAACAACCCAAAGGCGCCACCGCCACCACACGCCACCACCAACCGCCGCCACACGCCACCACCAACCGCCGCCACACGTACACGCGCTTGAGTGCGTGTGTGCGAGAGCGTCTACACCAGCGCACGCGTGCCAGCACACAAACCCGCGTGCGTCCCATCGGCGGGATCCGCGTTAACGCGTGTGTTTCTGCGGTCTTACCCCCCCCCCACCCGCACCCTCTCCTCCGCTCCACGCAGCTGGCCCCCGACGACGTGCGCGAGATCTTCCAGCAGGTGGCCGTGTCGCGCATCGGCCTGGGCTGGGAGTTCATGCAGCCGCGCGACGACGACTTTGTGCGGAGGCACGCCGACGTGGTGCAGCGGCAGACCATGCTGTGGGCGGGCGTCCAGGCGCGGTGAGCTTCCAACGCCGCCGCCACTACCCAACCACGCCCCCACCCACCCACCCATCCACCTCCACCACCACACTCCCCCCCCCCCCCCCAACAATCCCTTTGCCAATAAACGCCGTGTTGTGAGCTGCGGGCGGACGGGATAAGGGTTCACTGTCTCGAAGGAAAGAATGAACGGTTATGACTTCGGCTTGTAACGCGCTGCTGCTTGCTACTATTACTACTACCGCCAACGCACGGTGGAAATCGACAACGGAATTTTGTATTGACCGGATCTGATATCGGCAAATGTTAAATGACGTTGCCCGTCGACCACCGACAAACCGGTCGTCGGCATCGCCCGTTACGCAGCCCGAATCACCACTGCCGATCTCGTGCCAGTTGAGTATCGGCCGTGCGCATGACGTGCGCTCGTGCGTGTGTGCGTGTGTGGAGCGGTAGTGCAGCGGTTAGCACGCCGTGTTACTAACCCGGCGACCCGAGTTCGATTCCCGCTCACGGCCAACACCGGTGACGATTAACTGAACCGGTCCTGGGCTTCCCCTAGGTCGACTCAGCCTCAAATGAGTACCTGGTACGGTGTGTAAAGATCACCGGGCGTGGCCACCCCCCCCCCCCCCTCTCCACCGTGTGCCGTGCCGGCCTTCCTAGGTGCTCGCTAACAGCACTTTCCCTAACAGTCTGTTAAGGCTATACGGGGGATCTTTGTGTGTGACCGCCAGGCTCGAGAAGGCGTACGGTCTGAAGAAGGAGGACATGCTGCCCAAGAAGCCAGAGGCACCGCCGGCGGGTACGCTCCGTGACAAATAATCGGTCCTCTCTGTATTTTTGCTCTCATCGTCGATACCGTAACGCGTATGGAATGTATTCCGCAGTCCAGTGACGAATGAGCAAATGAACGAACGTGCGTACGTACTTTACGTATGTATGTACGTACGAACACACACTGCAGGGACCGTGGTGACGGGGGAGGAGCGGCTCAGGCTGGCCAGGTCAAAGATCATGGAACACAAGGAGAATCTGGAACAGACCTACAAACAGCGGAATTCCCAGAATCCCACGAGGCAGACCCACAATGCCGTGGAGGAGAGCGGCGGCGTGCGCGTCAAGGAGGAGCGCGCCAGCGATGTCGAGGATGCGGTGAGAGTTCACGCGCCTGCGTTTTTTGCCGATCCGCTGCTGGATGAAGGCCTTCCCAAGCCGCCGCTGCTGCCGCCACGACCACCACCTCTCACCGTCCCGTCATCCATCGAGCGTGTCCACTTGACCTGAATTAATCGCTCCATCTCCCAGGAGGACGTCCTCTCCGACACATTCCGTTCCTTGAATCTTTACCTTTATCGCCTCGCATTTTATCGTTATTATTAATAGTAATATGATTGTTTAGAGAAGAAGTTTCGCTGAGTCACGTGCCAAGTATTTTGCACAATCCGATTGAGCAAATTTGGGGGTACATTTTCTAATTTGCACAATGACGCCGACACACAAATGGGCCTACTCTGGCGAATGGCGTCGACCTGTAACCAACCGAGAACTCGAGAGACCGGCACGAGTCTTATTTGTGAGCGTGGCTGTGGTCAACCAAGTTGCCAAGAGCAATAACATAGAAAAATAAAATAGCGCCACGGTTATAGACCCCGGCTCTAACCCGCGGCTCCGCGATTCCGTCCCCCCCTCCCTCCCCTCATCGTCCCCCCTCCGGGCGCAGGAACCGATGGACGTGGACGGCTCCAACGGAGCGCCGGCCCTCGCCAACGGAGAGCACGGCGCCCCGGGGGAGTCGGCGGCGGCGGCGGCCGGAGCCGAGACCCAGCGGCGCGAGCTCCGGGCGTTCGTGCGAGCACGCCTCGCCGAGCACACGGTGCTGTCGCTGCGCGAGCTGCGCCGGCTGCTCGACCGCCACCTGGCGGCGCTGGCCCCGGGCCACGTGCTCGGCGCCGGCGTCTCCCCGCTCATGCTGCAGGAGGCGGCGCTGCAAAGCGGCGGCCGGCAGATGCACGTGCAGGTGCGCGTATGATTGCTCGCGCGAGCGTCTAACAATACTCGCCCCCTGCAGTCTTGATATATTTTTTTTTGTCTTTGCCCGCTGCGCAACGAAACCGGCGACCCAAGTTCGATTCCCGCTCGCACCGGTGACGATTATCTGAACCGCTCCTGGGCCTCCCCTAGGTCGGGTCAGCCTCAAATGAGTACCTGGTGCGGTGTGTAAACCTCGCCACTGGGCAGACAAAGGCGGTGCCGCGTGGTGCTGGCCACCCACTGACTGGTGTACCGTTCCGGCCTTCATAAGGTGCTCGCTAACAGCACTTGCCCCAAAGGTCTGTTAAGGCTAATACGGGGGATCTTTGTCTTTGTAACTGTGTGCCTGTGTGCGACTCCCATGTGTGTGACCCGCGCGTCTTTGCGCGCGGTTACAACTGCGCGCGCATGCGAGCGTACGGCCCTAATAGGTTCTCACTGTAACGGCACTTGCCTCGATGATCTGCAAGGCTAAATGGGGGGGGGGGGGGGGTGGGGGGAATCTTTGTTGCCAAATACAAACATCTCTCGTTCAGCCGTAAAGAACCAGAGGCTCGGAATCCCATCAGACGGGATTCGCGAACATCGTGCTCCACTGCAGGGGCTCGAACCCAGCTCGCTGATACTGTAGTTTAAGCGGTCAGACCGTGACTCACGGTACCGATCCCTTCCGGAACACCAGCCGCACCGGATTGCTTTTGCCGCTTCACGTCACCGTCGCACTCCCTGCCGCCGCCAGATTCCGCCGCAGTTCCTCTCGGACGCCAACAACGACAAGGTGTTCGTGAACTGGAACGCGGGGGACGCTCACGAGAAGGTCCGTTCGATTCGCCGCCCCCCCCCACCCGACCCAGCCCCCCATTTACCGCCCCCCCCCCCACCCAACCCCTCATTCACCACCCCTCCCACCCACCCCCCCCCCCCATTCATCACACCCCCCACCCAACCCCCCCATTCACCACACCCCCCACCCAACCCCCCCATTCACCACCCCTCCCACCCACCCCCCCCATTCACTACACCCCCCCACCCACCCAACCCCCCCATTCACCACCCCTCCCACCCACCCCCCCCCATTCACCACACCCCCCACCCACCCCCCCCATTCACCACACCCCCCACCCAACCCCCCCATTCACCACACCCCCCACCCAACCCCCGAATTCACCACCCCCCCCACCCACCGATCCCCCCCATTCACCGCCCAACCCACTCCCCCATTCACCGCCCCTCCGACCCACCCCCCCATTCATCGCCCCCACCCCCCTCTTACCTCCTTGCCGCACCATCGCGCTGACAATCGGCAAGCCCAGCCCCCCGCGGTCTACACGGCGCGCGAGTGGTGGCGTTTGTTGTGGCCGAGCGTGGATATATCCGACCGAGATTGTGTCAATCCGCGGTGAGATTCGTGGCCACGCCACACGCGAGGCTTTCGACTGGCGTCACCGTGGCCACGCCGGTACTTGTTGCGCGGTGAAGGCGTAGGGTGCGTCCCGGCGGGTGGGTTATGTCTCGGCTGGCTCCGCGTGGTTGATAGTGGTGATGGTGGTTGATGGTGATGATGGTGGTTGATGGTGATGATGGTGGTGCTGATCGGGAGGTGGAGTGTCTTTCCTGACCAGCGCCTCATCGTTGTGCAGCCCCGGCAGGTTCTCCTGGAGATGTTCAATGAGAACTACCGGCTGAAGCGCCCGGCCATCCAGTCACGGCTCGCACTCGCCGGAGGATCCGAGCCGGACAAACCGACGCTTGACAAGCTGCTGAAGGTCGCTCACACCACAACCACCACCAGTGTCTCCTACTCCTCTACCACCACCACCACCAGTGTCTCCTACTCCTCTACCACCACCACCACCAGTGTCTCCTACTCCTCTACCACCACCACCAGTGTCTCCTACTCCTCTACCACCACCACCACCAGTGTCTCCTACTCCTCTACCACCACCACCATCAGTGTCTCCTACTCCTCTACCACCACCACCACCAGTGTCTCCTACTCCTCTACCACCACCACCAGTGTCTCCTACTCCTCTACCACCACCAGTGTCTCCTACTCCTCTACCACCACCACGACCACCACCACCAGTGTCTCCTACTCCTCTACCACCACCACCACCAGTGTCTCCTACTCCTCTACCACCACCACCACCAGTGTCTCCTACTCCTCTACCACCACCACGACCACCAGTGTCTCCTACTCTACCACCACCACGACCACCACCACCAGTGTCTCCTACTCCTCTACCACCACCACCACCAGTGTCTCCTACTCCTCTACCACCACCACCACCACCACCAGTGTCTCCTACTCCTCTACCACCACCACCACCAGTGTCTCCTACTCCTCTACCACCACCACGACCACCACCACCAGTGTCTCCTACTCCTCTACCACCACCACGACCACCATCAGTGTCTCCTACTCCTCTACCACCACCACGACCACCACCAGTGTCTCCTACTCCTCTACCACCACCACCAGTGTCTCCTACTCCTCTACCACCACCACGACCACCATCAGTGTCTCCTACTCCTCTACCACCACCACGACCACCACCAGTGTCTCCTACTTCTCTACCACCACCACGACCACCACCACCACCACCAGCGTCTCCTACTTCTCTACCACCACCACCAGTGTCTCCTACTCCTCTACCACCACCACCACCAGTGTCTCCTACTCCTCTACCACCACCACCACCAGTGTCTCCTACTCCTCTACCACCACCACGACCACCACCACCAGTGTCTCCTACTCCTCTACCACCACGACCACCAGTGTCTCCTACTCCTCTACCACCACCACCACCAGTGTCTTCTACTCCTCTACCACCACCACCACCAGTGTCTCCTACTCCTCTACCACCACCAGTGTCTCCTACTCCTCTACCACCACCACCACCAGTGTCTCCTACTCCTCTACCACCACCACCACCAGTGTCTCCTACTCCTCTACCACCACGACCACCATCAGTGTCTCCTACTCCTCTACCACCACCACCACCACCACCAGTGTCTCCTACTCCTCTACCACCACCACCACCACGACCAGTGTCTCCTACTCCTCTACCACCACCACCACCACCACCAGTGTCTCCTACTCCTCTACCACCACCACCACCACCAGTGTCTCCTACTCCTCTACCACCACCACGACCACCACCACCAGTGTCTCCTACTCCTCTACCACTACCACGACCACCATCAGTGTCTCCTACTCCTCTACCACCACCACCACCAGTGTCTCCTACTCCTCTACCACCACCACGACCACCACCACCAGTGTCTCCTACTCCTCTACCACCACCACCACCAGTGTCTCCTACTCCTCTACCACCACCACCAGTGTCTCCTACTCCTCTACCACCACCACCACCAGTGTCTCCTACTCCTCTACCACCACCACGACCACCACCAGTGTCTCCTACTCCTCTACCACCACCACCACCAGTGTCTCCTACTTCTCTACCACCACCACGACCACCAGCATCTCCTACTCCTCTACCACGACCACCACCACCAGTGTCTCCTACTCCTCTACCACTACCACCACCAGTGTCTCCTACTCCTCTACCACCACCACCACTACCAGTGTCTCATACTTCTCTACCACCACCAGTGTCTCCTACTCCTCTACCACCACCACCAGTGTCTCCTACTCCTCTACCACCACCATCACCAGTATCTCCTACTCTACCACCACCACCACCAGTGTCTCCTACTCCTCTACCACCACCACCACCAGTATCTTCTACTCCTCTACCACCACCACCAGTGTCTCCTACTCCTCTACCACCACCACCACCACCAGTGTCTCCTACTCCTCTACCACCACCACCACCACCAGTGTCTCCTACTCCTCTACCACCACCACCAGTGTCTCCTGCACCACCGTGACTTTCGTCCCTGTGCGTGTCCTCACCGTTGCAATTCCCCGTTCCCCGCCGTGTGCAGGAGTGCTGCGTGAGCCGCAATGGGATGTGGTACCTGAAGGGAACGACTCCGTCATGACAGCAGCCGTCCCCTCGGGGTGCGAGGAGGGGGGGGGGGGTCGGGAGGAGCGTGGGTGAGGAGTGCAGGTGAGTGAGGTGTGGCCGTGAAACCCGGGGATTGGCCTCAGCCCAAGGCACCGTGGTCAAGTTGCCACTTGGACATGTCATGGTTGAAGAGAAGAATATTTCACAATACTGGAATAGTGGAGAACTGCATGCGTATGCACTGCCTCGATGGCTGTGTTATTATTATTATTGTTGGTGCACAGTCATCAAAAATGCGCTGTGACCTTTACGGACCCGGGAAGACTTACAGATTTGCCAGGACGGCCACATCAAAAATAAAAAAGAACGATTCTGGCAAATCCAGGACAGGTGCCACATGGCCTCCCTGGACTCCCAACGGCCATCGTCATCCCCGCCGCCACCTTCCTTTCTAGACGAGAGGAAATGAGGCGACCTTCAAGACCGACGGCTGAGAGGGCAGAGATGCCATGGTGGGGGGGCGGGAGGGCAGGAGAGCTGGGGTCTTCTCGGCAGCCTCGCTGCCGCCCCCCCCCCACAAGCAGTTTCAAGTGCTGCCCCCCCCTCCCCCGTTACAACGGGGCAACCTCGCCTCCGGTGCATCCGCTTCCACCGCAAAGTCTAGCGCTGCCACGGAACGGCAGCCCTGGAGACTCAAATCAGGCGGCCCTCTGCTGGGCCAAGAAAAGAAGGCGATAATTTTTTTTTTTCTCCTAAGTTTACGACTGATGTGTGTTTTTTCTCTCCGGCTTAAGTTTCATGTTTCCCCCCCCCCCCCGCCACCACCCCCCCCCCCCGCTTACCCTCACCTCTGTGATTGATGTGAGAACGTAACGCGAACTGCTCATATACTGTACATCTGCTGGTTATGTACAAGTATTTCCATCGTTTGGATCAGGCTGCAAAACGGTAACGCGCACCTGTTAATCCTTTAAAAGTGCCCCACCTTATTAACAGACCAATTCAGGCCTTATTGTTCACCCCCCCCCCCCGTACCCTTATCAATCTCAACGTTCATCTTACAAACTCCCATCACAAGGGCGAAACACAAACAGACAGACAAAAAAACAATTGCCCGTATTGAAATATAGCTGTACGCCGTATGGACCTCAAAACTCAACTTCCCTCTTGATTTGAAGCTTTCGTGACTGCAGGAATTCATACTCTTTGGTTTTTTCAGTAAAGTCACGTAGGTAGAACAAAAACTCAACTTCCCTGTACGAGAATACGGGGTTAACCGTATGGCTTGACACGGTATGGTAACGGAATCGTTTAGTTCACGGCGCTTGCGCGTGGATTGGCTCTCAAGGCCAGCAGTCAAGTGACGTGGGTGGGCGGGTGGGGTGGTCCGGGTTGTGCACGCGGATTTACTGTAGAGAACACAGGTTGAGGCGCGCACCGCGCTGAGTTTTGTAATGAGATGCGACCACGCGCTGCTGCGATTTTACACTTAATGAATTGCAGGTTACGTTTGCTGCCTGTCGGCCGTAATGCCAAACCCGATTCCGATAAACATTGATGCGCGTTTTGGAATTGCCATTTTTGTTGTTGTCGTCACCATTGGATATTTAAGGCCTATCGCATGTCTCTTCCGTCTCACTTGAGATTTGGTTAAAACAAATAAATACCCTTTTGATTTAAAGCTTTCGTGACCGCAGTGATTCATATTCTTGGTTCTTTCGGTAAAGTCACGTTGAAGGGAAATATATATTTTATTCTTTTATTGTTTCCCTTCAACGTGACTTTACCGAAAGAACTAAGAATATAAATAAATACCCGTCGTGATTTTTTTTACCGACGACGGAGTCTGCATGTGATGCCAGGGAACGACACTGGCTGGAGGAGTCGGCAGAGAGCTGCTGCTCTCTTCTCTCACAATGTCACGTTTTCCCCGTCTGTGCAGTGTTTGTTGACACTCAGGTGGTTTTTAACGCTTGCGTATCCCATTTCTACTGGCACATCCGAGCTGCGCCAGAGTTGGGGCCATCATGGTACAGGTGGTTTTTTTCCATTGGCTTTTTGCCAAGCCGAGCCAGAGCAATACCGTGAAATTCTGGCCTTGTAGTAATTGTGAATGTGACGGGTAGCCCAGTAGGATCAGGCTGCAAAACGGTAACGCACACCTGGGGTTCATTTACTGATGTCGGCAGCATGGCTCTGGTTTTGCAGTGGAAAAAAAAAACAACCTGGTGCCTCCTGAGCCGCGCTGGGCTGGGTCGGCACGCGGTTCACTTAGCTCAGCTGGGGGGATGGGGATTACGTTAAATGCCATATTTTAAAGATTGCGTTTCGGCGCAGATCACGGTAACCGGCAACACTTGAAAGCGGGGTTTGGTCTCCGGTGTAGAAGTACAAAATCAAAACTTTTTACAGCGGTGAACAACACGCTTCATTTGAACGCCGATTTTTTTTTGGGCGAGAATTAAACAAAAGAATGTTCTATTGCGATAGTTGCCTTGGAAGTAATGAACAAGAACAAACGGCAAAAAACAACCCCATTCACATTTGTCAACAGCACTGCCCGAAGAGGAATAACATACAAATACCGTAGACCGATAACGCCACCCCCGTTATATACGTTGCTTCCCGTTCAACGACGGTGGTGTAAATTGACAAACGTATGTCATGTTTGATTTTTTTTCTCCCCCCTCCATCCTCGATGTCGCAGAGTAAGGACCGAAACCGAGGTCAATTAAAATTCCAGTTGCGCAATTTGTAATGAAATGGAACCGCAATGTCAAATATAATTACTATTTTGGCAAACAATGCTGCTGCTGTATTTGAAATTATAATTGACCGAAGGTCTCGTTTTTATCATGCCTTTATTTAATGGTTCGAGTTGAATGGATTTGCTGAAGCTGCCGAGACGAAAGATATCGGAAGCTCTGTGCAGTATAACGGACATGTGCATTGTGTCGAAAGTAAACATTAAAAGGCGCAGCCCCTGCAATTCCTCTTGTCACGCCACCGCTTGCAAAGGGGCCTCTGCAAGAGGGAGCTCCAAAAGGTCATCTCGAAGATACTTGGCCTACTTTTGCAGACCGCACAGACAGTGGCCAGACGCCTCGGACGTGGTGGGTGTTGCCCCATCACTTTACCCCACCGCACACCACAATGACTGGTGGTGGTAGTGGTGGTGGAGCCGTCGGCAGTGTGGGGAGCGGTGGTGTAGCGGTTAGCGCTACGCTGTGCTACGAACCCGCTCACGGTCAACACCAGTGACGATTATCTAAACCGGTCCTGGGCCTCTCCTAGGTCGACTCAGCCTCAAATGAGTACCTGGTGCGGTGTGTAAACATCGCCACTGCGGAAACAAAGGCGGTCGGGCGTGGTGCTGGCCACCCACCCCCTCGTGTACCGTTCTGTCCTTCATAGGTGCTCGCTAACAGCACTTGCCCCTAGTCTGTTACAGGCTTTACGGGGGATCTTTGTCTTCTTCTGGTGTAGCCATTCGTAGGCAGTGATCTTCGCTAACTAGTTCCTGCTCCTTGCTCAATACTCACTTCCCCCCCCCCCCAGCTCACTCCACGACCCCTTCATTAAACTAGTCTACCGTGCATCCTCCGTCGTGATTTGTTTTATTTTATTTCTAACTACGTGACTTTACCGAAAGAACCAAAGACTAACGTCACGTGGTTAACACGTGGAGACAATGACGGAGTGGCGGCGTCTATCCAGTGCTGTGTGAATGCTTTTAGAATTTCGATTTAAAGCTTTCGTGACTGCAAGGATTCATCTTCTTTGGTTCTTTCGGTAAAGTCACGTAGAATGAGAATAAAATTATATTATTTTATTTTATCAATTTATTATTTTATTCTCATTCTACGTGACTTTACCGAAAGAACCAAAGATTAACGTCACGTGGTTAACACGTGGAGACAATGACGGAGTGGCGGCGTCTATCCAGTGCTGTGTGAATGCTTTTACAATGTCCAGCAAGCAGCACACGTGGCCTGTCCCAATCTAAGAGGTAGAACCTCTGAGCTGGCAACAACAGCGTTGAATCTTGGCCGAGAGGCGAAACCCTCTGAACTGGCATGAACCCTTGGGGGGCCCCCCTCCACCCCTTCGCGTTCGTAAACACAAGGCCACGCAACCACAGCCTTGGCCAAGCCTAGCCCCGCCCCCATCCCCTTAGACCCCGCTCCCTTCTGCCAGACCACGCCCCCCCCCAGACCGCGCCCCCCCCTCATTGCTTCTGTGCTTTACCACCAGCTCGAGGGGGAGGAATTTACATAATCCACGCCCCCTGTTAGACCACGCCCCCCCTCTGGCACCGCCTCTTCTCTCGGCTCCACCCCTCCACGTCCTCCCCATCTCCGTGGTCTGAACGTTAATAATAATTATTTAATAATACTTTTTTTGACCACGGCAATGAGAGCAGATTTTTCGATGGTTACCTGGCTAATAATAATAACAATGCAATTCATTTATACGGCGATTTTCCCACGCTCAAAGCACTGAACAGTTAAAAGTATTCAATATATATAAAAAAAAACCTAATACATGCAAAACAAACAATGGCATAGAACATTAAACAAGAGCAGCATAGAGATGAATATTTATAGGACGGAATATACGAGGTGGGAGAGTGCAGGAGGGAATTAAAGCCAGATTGTAAGACTTCTTGAACGGATGAGTTTTTCATTGAGATTTGAACGTGCAGATTGACTGGGCAGATCTGATGCGCAGTGTTGTTCCATAGCTTCAACACAATAGCAACCTGGTTAGAACAGCAGCAACAACATAACACGATAACACGATTTAATTGTGTGCTATGAATAAGGGAAATTGCCCGAAACGTCACCGATTATATTTTTTTAATGCCACGATGTTATACTGGCGAAGGTGTTGAGTTTTGTTATTTTATTACACTGATGTGGTGAACAGGCACACGTAATAACACACATAGGCGACGTTTCGGGCAATGCCCCTTGTTCACAGCACATACAGAGTTCCAGTCGAGAGACGGCGTAGATAAGCCTACGTGTGTGAGAGCAGCCAACACAGTATCACCCAACTGTTGTCCATAATAAAAGGTTGTTTTGGGGTTATATCGCGTAAATGTGTCGTTAAACACGCCACCACCCGACACAGCCAATCAGTAAGGGTTGTCACGTAAACAGCACGTGGCAATTCGTGACTCGTACAGCAACACCGGTGTGTTGGATGGGTGGGGGGCCCGGTGGGTGGGGCTCCCAGTGGGGGGGGGGGGGGGAGTCGGTTGGTGAGTGGGGCCCCGGTGGGTGGGGGGCCCGGTGGGTGTGGGGGGCCCGGTGGGGGGGGGGCGGTGGGGGGGGCGGTGGGGGGGGCCCGGTGGGTGGGTGGGGGGGGGCCCGGTGGGTGGAGGGGAGGCCCGGTGGGTGGGGGGGGGGGCCGGGTGGGTGGGTGGGGGGGGGGCCCCGGTGGGTGGGTGGGGGCCCCGGTGGGTGGGTGGGGGGCCCGGTGGGTGGGTGGGGGGCCCGGTGGGTGGGAGGGGGTGCCCGGTGGGTGGGGGGGGGGCCCGGTGGGTGGGGGGGGGCCCGGTGGGTGGGGGGGGGGGGGTGGGGGGGGGGCCCCGGTGGGTGGGGGGGTGGGGGGGGGGGCCGCGCTAGGCCCGGCCCTCGCTCGCGTCCACTCCCCACAGTCCCCGCCCCGCTCTTTGTCGCCGCTCGGCCTCCTCCCCGCTCCCGTGTCTGCCCACCCGGTGTCGATGTCGATGGTTTGAGTCCGGGCGGGCACCATGAACCTCGCGAGCCAGAGCGGGGAGACGTCCTCGGGATTACTCTTCGCCAACTTCAACCAGGACTACACGTAAGGGCGTGGGGTGGCGAGGGTTACTCCCCAACCACCTCGGCTCCAGCAAACTCCGACCCCCCCCTCCGCCTGACATATCCCACCCCCGGGGCTTGGCCCGGCTCTCCCCGCCGGCCAGGGCGCGCCTCCAGCGGGCGGGCGCATCTATCCGAGCGCCCGTCCGCCCCCGTGGATCTCGGTGCGGCCTAGCAGCTGCTACTGCTGTTGTTGTTGTTTGTGTGTGTGTGGATCTCTAGGAGCGGAGAGGCGCGGCGTTTGTTGTTGTTGTTTTTTTTATCACCCACACCTCGGCGAGGAGGAGGAGGAGGGAGGAGGAGGAGGACGAGAGAGAGAGAGGGGAAAGTTTGAGTCCGTGTCCCCGATGTTTGCCGGGAGCCCGCCGTGCTTAACAATGGCGCAGATGCCCGCTGCGTTACGCCGGGCGCCGAGAAGGCAGCGGAGGGGGAGGAGGAGAGGGAACGGTGGTGGTGGAATTTGTTAAATCGTCAATTAACAAACTGCGTGAGATAATTAACAACGATTCTAAGGGCCACTTAACGGTTTAAGGGTTGAGGCGGCGGGAGGTGAGGAAGGAGGTGTGGGGTGTTGGGGGCAGTCCCGTTAGCCCAGATGCATGGCGAGCACGTCGCTGATCTCGGCGTAACAAGTCCATCATCACCATCATCCTCCTCACAATAACATCGTCCACGTAACGCCGTCGGTTATGGTCGCGTCACTCTCGTAACGTCACCGTAATATCATCTTCATTGTATCGGATTTGTAAATCGTGTTGTCATCAATGTCGTCATACCCCCCACCCACCCTAGTCAACAACACGGGGGAGGGATGGGGAGGGATGGAGGCTGAGCTGGCTGGGCTGGGCTGGCTGGGCTTGGCTGGCTTGGCTGGGCTGGCTGGGCTTGGCTGGCTGGGTTGGGCTGGGCTGGGCTGGCTGGGCTTGGCTGGCTGGGTTGGGCTGGGCTGGCTGGGCTGAGCTGGCTGGGCTGGGCTAGGCTGGGCTGGGCTGGGCTGGCTGGGCTTGGCTGGCTGGGTTGGGCTAGGCTGGCTGGGCTGGCTGGGCTGAGCTGGCTGGGCTAGGCTGGGCTGGGCTGGGCTGGCTTGGCTGGGCTGGCTGGGCTTGGCTGGGCTGGCTGGGCTTGGCTGGGCTGGCTGGGCTGGCTGGGCTTGGCTGGGCTGGCTGGGCTTGGCTGGGCTGGGCTGGGCTGGCTGGACAGGGCTTGGCTGGGCTGAGCTGGGCTGGACTGGCTTGGCTGGCTGGGCTGGGCTGGCTGAGCTTGGCTGGCTGGGCTGGCTGGGCTGGGCTGGTTGGCTGGCCTGCCTGGGCTGGGCTGGCTGGGCTGGCCTGGCTGGGCTGGGCTGGCCGGGCTGGGCTGGCCGGGCTGGCCTGGGCTGGCCGTGCTGGCCGTGCTGGGCTGGGCTGGCTGGGCTGGGCGGGCTGGGCTGGGCGGGCTGGGCTGACCGAGCTGGGCTGGGCTGGGCTGGCTGGGCTGGACTGGCCTGGCTGGGCTGGCTGGGCTGGCTGGGCTGGCCAGGCTGGACTGGCCTGGCTGGGCTGGCCGGGCTGGGCTGGCCGGGCTGGGCTGGGCTGGCCGTGCTGGGCTGGGCTGGCCTAGGCTGGCCTGCCTGGGCTGGCTGTGCTGGGCTGGGTTGGCTGGACTTCCTGGGCTGGCTGCACTTCCTGGGCTGGCTGGCTTTGCCAGGCTGACTCCATGCCTCTGGCATGTGACCGAGTCTGATGGACATTATTCCGCCGCAACTGTTATTGGTAGAATCGGCACCGCTGTTGCGTTGCGTAAGTGCCCCCGCGTTCGGTAACGGGTCACAGCGGCGTCTTCGTGCCCGGCACAACGGGCTTCGTTGTGCCGCGCCGGGTTGTGTTCTACGGACACGCTGTTCCGCCCCGTCATAGGAATGTGTAATTGCCGCCGCCGCTCGCTTATTACGCGTGGCCTGATGTGTTTTCTCATCTTTTTCGGTCGCCCGCTTTGGTTATGTGCGTAGCGGGCGTCTTGCGATGTTTGTCCGCTGTGCCCCCCACGGCGCTTCCACGCTGCCTCCGGCTGGGCACCCCTTTCTCGGAGGGGCTCTGTGTGCGTTTGCTTTATCTTGGGATGTGCCGCGGGTGTTTCTCATCATCCCCCTCTCTCATCATCCCCCTCTCTCTCTCGCTCGCTCCCTTGACCTGACCTCCTCCACGCCACCCACATACGCGTCCTGATGTTTAAGAAATCACGCGTTTTGTCGAGTGTTTGGCTGCTGTAAATGCCCACGTGATGCTTAAGCCCCATTTCGTTTTGAAATATCGTCTGTGATGGCCCAGGTCACTGCTGAAAAAGAGCTACATAGAGCTGAGTGGGCCTTAACTGGTTAAATAAAAAATAGTTTACAGTTTAGAAACAGAATGAATAAGCAAGACGATATGTCTCCTTCCCATACGTGTTGTGTTATTGTATGATATAATTAGGCGTCGAACATGTAACAGGGAGCAGTCCTTGCCAAATAAATTTGGCAGTTCACCAGCATTAGATGAGGCAAGCCGATCTCGGCTCATGAGACACCTAATGTTTAAAACGGTCTCGTGTTTGCTTGTGTTGAGCCACCGTTTCTGATATATGCTCGCAAAAAGGCTTTTTTTTGACCGATACGACGTTTACAATATTTCAACGGAAAGACTTTTCCTTTGTTGTGGACAGATGTGCGACTGGGATGGCGTTTTTCCAAGTCTTATCCCGCTGTGGTCAATTTGTAAATCGCCTTTCAGATGCACGTGCATTTAGACGGCAAATAATTTTAATATCGGTTTCTGTCAGTGGCTTCATTAACGCAGAAGAAGTCTTGTCGTGAACCTCAGCCACCGCACCTGGTTTGGGTGACCACACTGCCCCCCCCCCCCGGGTCCCCCCACACCCCATCCACACCCCAGGCGAACTAAGTAGGGTGCCAGCATTTAATGGTGATGCTCTAGCGACGCTGTCGTGCTGTAAACAAGCGACAGGTGTCGTGGCGCGAGATGATGGGACGGTAAGCGGCAGCGGCGTCCGTGTTGGCGCACGAGTGGGGGGGGGGCGACTCTGAGACTGACCCATGGCTTCCTCTTTTGCTCGTCTCAGCCCAGCCGATGCTCAACGTGGAATGGCTTAGCGGTAAGCGCCGAGATTAGAGGCAGAACTGGCTTTCATGGGTGTGGTTGCTGTTAGGATGAGGGTCGGGAACGGTGTTCGAGTCGGGGTTGGTGATAGGGTCAGGGTTGGTGTCAAGATTAGGATCGGAACTGGCGTTTGGGGTTAGGTTTAAAGTCAAGGTTGGTTATTAGGATTACGGTCGGCTAGTGGTGGTGTTAGGGTCGGGGTTAGTGTTGGGTCTGGGGTTGGTGTTAGGGTCAGGGTTAGTGTTAGGATTCGGGTTACGACTGGTGTTAGAGTGCGGGTCGGTATTACGGTTAAGGTCAGGGCCAGGGTAGGTTTAAGAGCCACAGCTCCGTCACCACCGAACCTGACTCTAACTCAGTTCATCCGCTTCTCGAGATAATCTCGTCTTCTCTGTTAAACTCAGTCAAATATTGATCTAACTCGACCTTGCCTTCCGCTGCATGTGCAGGTCCCTGGCCGTGGGCTCCAAGTCAGGTTACAAGCTCTTCTCTCTCAACTCCGTGGACAAGCTCGAGCAGATATACGAGAGCAGTGAGTAGTGGGGATCGTGGTGCGGGTGTGTGTGGTGGATGGGGAGCGGTGGTGTAGCGGTTAGCGCTTCGCTGCGCTATGAACCCGGCGACCCGGGTTCGATTCCCGCTCACGGCCAACACCAGTGACGGTTATCTGAACCGGTCCTCTAGGTCCACTCAGCCTCAAATGAGTACCTGGTGCTGTGTGTGGTAAACATCGCCACTCGGGAGACAACGGCGGCCGGGCGTGATGCTGGCCACCCACCCCCTTCGTGTGCCGTGTCGGCCTCCATAGGTGATCGCTAACAGCAATTGCCCCAACGGTCTGTGACAGACTTTCGGGGGCGTCTTTGTCTTCGTGGTGGATGATGGTTGGATCGAGAGTGCAGGGACTCGGCGGTGAGAGCGATAGAATGTTCGGTTCCCCGCCCCGCTCCTCTGTCGGCGTGCGGCCGTTCGCATGTCGACGCGCGCGTGCGTGCGTGCGTTGTCCCCCCGCGCAGCCGACACGGAGGATGTGTGCATCGTGGAGCGCCTCTTCTCCAGCAGCCTGGTGGCCATCGTGAGCCTGTCGGCGCCGCGCAAGCTCAAGGTGTGCCACTTCAAGAAGGGCACGGAGATCTGCAACTACAGCTACTCCAACACCATCCTCGCCGTGAAGCTCAACCGGCAGGTGCGGCGCGCGGGTGGCGGTGGCGGGCAGAGACGGGGGTGGGCGCACACACGTGTGTACATGTGTATGTACGGGAAAGACAACAAACTAAACGCAAGAAGCAGCACACACACTAACAAGAAGATTTGCTGGTTTATCCAGGGATGTTTCTGTTGCGCGTCGTCGCTTTAAGATGTTTCTCTGTTCATATTTTTGTTTGTTGCGGTTGCACCCGACTCAAGAGCCGCACGGCTCACAGGGCTACACCTAATAAATGAAACTTGAAAACTTGAATGGTGTAAGCAACAGTGGCCCCCGAGACATGTGGTGAAGCTGATGGGATGCTCCCCCCCCCCCCCCGACACCCCTTGTGTGTGCGTGCGTGTTCATGTGTCTTTGCGCGTGCGCACGCGTCTGCGTGTGTAAAACAGCGACTCATCGTGTGCCTGGAGGAAAGCCTCTACATCCACAATATCCGTGACATGAAGGTGTTGCACACCATCCGGGACACGCCAGCAAACCCCGCTGGTGAGCCCCCCCCCCCCCTCCCCCCGCCTGTCTCATCCCGACCTTTAACCTGACCCCAGCCCCTGGGCGTCGCTCCTTGACGATTGCCCCACTGTGACCTCCGACCCCCACCTCCCCCTGCACCTCGCTCCTCACTGCTTCTCTACTCACGACTTCAGACGTTCACCGAAATTGATGTCTATTTTCGCATGAATAGTAATAAGTACTACATTCGGAAGTTGCTGCTTCAGCCGCCATGCTCGTTGAACGGTATTGCTCCTTCCTTACGCTCAAATAAACCATCGCTCCTTTTCTCAGTTTTTATTGGGCTACTAGATTCCCTGTGATGGGGAGCGGTGGCACAGTGTTTAGCACACTCCACTATGAACCTGACAGCTTGAGGTTGACTCTCAATGAGGTTGACTCTCAAGTGTTTTTTGAGCTAAGCCTCTCTCTCGTACGCTTGTTAGTCATTCATCGTTTTTCATTTCAACTTTCTTTCTCCACCCTGTGTTCCCACGTTTCTATGGGGTCGGTTGCACAGGTTTCCCTCCTTCACTCATGTCAAAGGCCTCCCCCCGCCCACCCCCCCACATCCCCCCCTCCCCCACGCCCCCCCCCCCCTTGCCCTCCCCCCTCGTCACCCCAGCCACATCCATCTTCCCTGTGCGTGTTATTCTTCCTTCTCATCTTCGCTTTCCCTCTTCTAAGAAAGCTGTTTGCTGCCTCCTCACAACCGCACCACACGGCCATACCACCTCAGTCCTGCTGCCCTTGTCATTCCCATTCGGATGACATTATTTAAAGTTGTTGGTGATGCCCGCGTGACGTCCGTACGCTCTACAACCGTTCTTTTCCCGCTTGGGTCTCCCCTTGTAAAAAGAGGCTCTCGGTCTCAATGGGCTCTCACCCGGTATTAAAATGAACGATTTACTACGAACAACAACTCTCCGCTTCCGCTTGTCGGCCAGGTCTGTGCGCCCTGTCCATCAGCAACGACAACTGCTACCTGGCCTACCCTGGCAGCGCCACCATCGGCGAGGCTCAAGTCTTCGACACGATTAACCTGGTCAGCGGGGCCTCTCTGCGGCCATAGTTTTATTGATTTTCACTGCGCATACGTGCGTGCACGTGTGTGTGCGCGTGTGTGTCCGCATGTGTGTAATTACGTTTTTGGGGAGAAAGAGTGGTGGGGCAGTGGTTGGCACGTTTGCATGTGTTTATGTTTGTGCGTGTGTATCTGCATCTACTTGTGTGTAATTATCTCTGTAGTAGGAGCGGTGGCGTAGTGGTTAGCGCGCTGCGCTACGAATCTGGCGATCCGAGTTCGATTCCCGCTCACGGCCAACAGCAGTAACGATTATTTGAACCGGTCCTGGCCCTCCCCTAGGTCTACTCAGTCTCAAATGAGTACATGGTGCGGTGTGTAAACATCGCCACTGGGGAGACAAATGTGGCCGGCCGTGGTGCTGGCCACCCACCCCCTCGTGTGCCGTGCTGGCCTTCATAGGTGCTCGCTAACAGCACTAGCCCCAACAGTCTGTTAAGGCTATACGTGGGGGGATATGTCTTTGTGTTTTGCATCTGCATGTGCGTGTATATATCTGTTGCGTGCGTGCGTGTGTCGCGGCAAGCAGCGTGCCGTCACGATGATCCCCGCGCACGACAGCCCGCTCGCCGCCATGGCCTTCGACTGCACGGGCACCAAACTCGCGACCGCCTCCGAGAAGGTGGCGGCCAGCACAGCGCAGAGACACCGCGCACACTCACACACGTGGACACAATCACACGTACACACACGTGCACGTACACATACTAAACAAAGACAAGACAAAGATCCCCCGTATAGTCCTAACAGACTGTTTGGGCAAATGCTGTCAGCGAGCACCTATGAAGGCTGGCACAGCACACCAGCACCACGCCCGGTCGCCTTTATATCCCTAGTGGTGATATTAACTCATCGCACCAGGTACTCATTTGAGACTGCGTCGACCTAGGGGAAGCCCATGACCGGTTCGGATAAACCTTCACTGGTGTCGGCCATGAGCGGGAATCGAACTCGGGCCGCTGGGTTCGTAGCGCAGCGCGCAAAACTGATGCACCACCACATGCACGGACAATTGAACGTGCAGATAATAATACACAAAGGGGTCACACGCACACACAAAATCTCGCACACACACACACAACAACAGCTGCCATTGGGCAGCCGCTAAGTGACGGTGACGTCGCTCACAGCGCTTGCACTGCGTGCCACGCGCCACACGCGCAGTGATGTCATGGCAGCCGCCGCCACACTCCCTTGTCCCCAGGGCACGGTGATCCGAGTCTTCAACATCCCCGACGGGCAGAAGTTATTTGAGTTCCGCCGGGGAGTGAAACGGTACGGTGCTCCCCTGCCTCCCTCCTCCGAGCTGTCGGCTCTCCCTTCATTGCAAACGCTTAACCTCAAACCATCGTTCCTGCTGTACTCCATGATAATATCACATAAGGATGGCAACTCTACACATTTCTTCCCATCATACTTGTTAAATTATATTCTTTGCCACGATGGTGAGATGTAACTACTTCGCCTTTTATGCGGGAGTTCGTGGGTTCGATCCCGAGCCTGACGCCTGTATATTTGGAGTTTGGATGTTCTCCCCGTGGTCGCGTGGATTTTTCTCTGGGTCCTTTGGCTTTTGCCTCCACATTTAGAATGAACATGCGTTTAGAGTATTTGTCTGCTATACATTTCCACGTAAACCACTTCGTTGACCTCTCATTTGTGGCCAGGTCGCTTCTGAAAAAGAGCTATACAGCTCAGTGGGACACACCTGGTAAAATAAATCTGCTAGGCCTCCCATGGGAATGGCTGCGTTGCTCATCGGGTCTAAGGAGGCATCGAAGAAGCTTGGTTTACATTCCCGTGCCAAAGCCCTTTGTCTTTAACTCTGAGAAATGATGTCAAAAATCTAAAAATCCTAATTCGGCACTCGCCATGACCGGGATCGGGGGGGGAAGCACTCAGTTCCTAAGCTCACTGCTCGGCTCGACAACGTTAACGCGATGCAGTCGGGGTGGTCGCTGGTCCGGCACTCGCCGATTCATTCCCATCACCCCACCCGGCGGTCAGTCTGTCCCCTTATCGCTCGGCTATCGCTACTAACCGCAATTTTTGTGTCATGAAAATATCACTCGTTGATTTTTCCACCGGTTGCTGAACACTCGCTCTGCCATGAGACCGACCCTCTCATCTCATCCATACGGCGTTCAACCACTAAAACACCTCACTTTCTGCGGATTCCCTCGCACTGCTCCACTTGGAAATTCCCTGCTCCCATCGTCTCTTCCCTCACCCCCAAGTTCTCATAACCTTCGTCAATCCACGAACACACTAACTCTTACCTATTACACCTTGAAGAACTGCTGCTTTTTACTGGCCGCTTGGCATTTTGGGCCTGTGCTCCCACTACCTTGATAGAAAATGCTTCGTAAAAGGTTGCGAGAGAGAGACGTGGTTAACGGTTACCACCCTCCTTGTGGTGTCGCCACTTGCCCCACCCAACCCCCCCCCCCCCCCCCCCCCCCGCAGGTGCGTCACGATCTGCTCGCTCGCCTTCTCGACGGACTGCGTCTTCCTGTCGGCGTCTAGCAACACGGAGACGGTGCACATCTTCAAGCTGGAGAGCCCCAAGGAGAAGTCAGGGTCACGCACGCACCCTCACACACATGCACGCACACGAACACAAAGTTTCCCATGCGCAGCGTTGACAGACGGTTGGGGCAAGTGCTCTTCGCGAGCACCTGCTGCCGATGTGGCCGGCAGCACACCCGGCCACCTTTGGTCCCCTCATTCCCGACGTTTGGACTCATTTAAGGACGAATCAGTCGCCGTCGTCGTTGGCCACGGCCGGGAATTGAGCGTGGGCGGCCGCGTTCGTAGCGTGGCACGCTCAACCAGCAGTGGCGACGGTCCTCCACGCGCGGGAGCGTGGAAAACCGGGGATAGAAACTTTCAGCTGCCCGATCCGTGGCTCGTGCAACCGGGCCCTCCCCACTCGGACAGATACGGTCTTTCCCCTGTGCAAGATGTAATCAACGTGAAAACCGCATCGTCGGTCGGAGAGTGGAGTGGTGGTGGGGGAGGTGGGAGGGTTGGAGGGAGGGAGGGAAACGCGTTGTCGTGCGCCCGCCCACCCACAGGCCGCCCGAAGAGCCGACAACGTGGTCCGGCTACCTGGGCAAGGTGCTCATGGCCTCCACGACGTACCTGCCGGCCCAGGTGTCCGAGATGTTCAACCAAGGCCGCGCCTTCGCCACTGTGCGGCTGCCCTTCTCGGGACACAAGAACGTCTGCTCGCTCGCCACGTGAGTGCCGCTCTCCGCCTCACGCACGCACGGCACGCACCGCACGCACGCACGCACGCACGCACACACACGCGAGCACACTTACGTGTACACAAAGACCCCCCGATGGCCCGTAACAGACTGTTGGGACAAGCGAGATTAGCGAGCGCATATTCATTATGACGCGGCACACGAGGGGGTGGGTGGCCAGCACCACGGCCAGCTGCCTCCGTCTCCCCGGTGCTGATGTTTACACAGCACCATACCAGGTACTCGCCGTACCAGGTACTCGCCTAGGGGAGGCCTGCGACAGATTCACATATTTGCCACTAATTGTTTGCGAGTTGAATCGGTGTTGCCAGGTTCATCGTGCAGTGCGCGAACCACTGCACTGCCGCACAAAGCCTTCTCCGCCCGCACCCTAAATCGGTAGTTCTCAACCTTTTTGGTCTGTACCTCGCGTGTCACACGTGCCCACGTGCCCCGCGCGTGTTTGACCGTGTGCGTTGGGGCGTCCCCCACGGGCGCCGGTCGCAGGGTGCAGAAGCTGCCGCGGCTGCTGGTGGCTTCGTCGGACGGCTACCTCTACATCTACAACGTGGACCCGCAGGACGGCGGCGAGTGCACGCTCATGAAGCAGCACAAGTAAGCGCGCACGCACACGCTCGCCCGTGCCTACTCGTGTGCATGTGCACGCGCGTGTTTAGTGTGCGCTGCGCTACGAACCCGGTCACCCGAGTTCGATTCCCGCTCACGGCCAACACCAGCGACGATTATCCGATCCGCTCCTGGGCCTCTCCTGGGTCCACTCAGCGTCAAACGGGTACCTGGTGCAGTGTTTAAACGCCACCAAGAGGGAGATAAAGGCTGCTCGGAATGATGCTGGCCACCCACGCCCCTGTCTGCCGTGCCAGCCAGCACTTGCCCCAAATGTCTGTTCAAGTTATACGGGGAATCTTTGTCTTTGTAAGTCCACATGTGAATGCATCCGCTTGCACATGCAAGTGCTCTGCGCTTGGCGTCGTGTGCGCATATACAGGTGTGAGGGTACATGCCTGCCTGTACGTGCGTATGCTTACTTGTGTATGTACGCATGTTTGTCGCAGATGCCTTGTCTATCCTTAATCCGACTGCTTCTCCTGTCTCTCTCTCGCTGTGGCACTTTGCGCGTTCACGCATCTCCTTCTCGTCTCTCCCCGTCTCTCTCCACGTGTAACGCGTCTCTATGCATCTCCCCCCCCCCACGTGTCTCTCTCTCTTCCCCCCTTTACTTGCACGTGGCGCCGTGGTCCCCCCTAGGCTGGACGGCGGCGTCGAGGGCTCGGGGAGCGACATCCTGGAGCCCCCGGAGAAGGCGACGGCGCCGCAGTCGTACGCGGCCACCGTGTCCAAGCCGTCCTCCTCCAGCTCGCCCGCGCGCCAAGGTGCGTCTCCCCTGTTCCCACCGAGTCACTCCCCCGTAGATGCGAGCGCGGAGTCGCTAAACGATGCCGCGGCACCCAAGAGCGTACGTCCCCCCGGTGCTGCCCGACACGAACGAGCTGCAGAGCTCCGTTAATGAGAAGAACGCAGAGCAACTACGCGCTCGTCTGGACTCGGCAACGCTGTTTAGGCGTCGGCGGTGAAGTGGCCTTCCGAGCCGCGCGACAAGGCGGCGTCGCGCGGCACCGCAGGATCGGCGTCGCACGTCGTGGTGTCTTATTAGGAGGCGAGGCTTGTGCGTGGCGTGCGACATCACCTTGGCCCAAAGAGCCTCGTGCGTTTGACGCTGGCTTATTTTCACCGCCTACATTTTGGGCAAACTTGGGTGATCGAAGTGGCGGGTTTGCTGTGCGCAGGCTCCGCCGGTTCCACCGGTTCGGGTGGCTTTGGCGGCGGCGCCGGCATCTACGTGGAGGAGCACGGGGCGGTGGGCGGCTCGTGCACCATGCCGGAGGAGGAGCTGGCGCACGACAACCTCAATCTGGACGACGACAGCGAGTTCCCGCCCATCGTGCAGCAGAGCGACTGAGGGCCGTGGTCCGCGCTACTACTCGCTCACGGCTCCCGCCGCCGCCCGGTACAGGCGGTTACGGCACCGACGCACCCTCCCCTCCCTCCCTCCACCGCTCCCTGCCCCCCCCCGCCCCCTCTGTGTTTACCGCCCGTCGTCGTCGTCGTCACAGCGGCGAGCAGTGTTTAGGATGTTTTGAACGTAGGTGGTGACCACGTGCGCGTGCGTACGCCACCTGGCGCGTGTTTGCGCCACGTGTTCTGAGCGCCATGTGACGCACACCCGACGGTCAATCTAATTGGGGCAACAAAGTCACGGGACGTGGCAGTGGTGAACCCCATCAAGCTGTGGCGGGAGGCGGGGGGGGGGGGGGGGCGAGGCAGTGGTGGACCCCGTCAAGCTGTGGCGGGAGGGGCGAGGCAGTGGTGGACCCCATCAAGCTGTGGCGGGAGGGGGGGGGACGTGGCAGTGGTGGACCCCGTCAAGCTGTGGCGTGAGGGGCGAGGCAGTGGTGGACCCCGTCAAGCTGTGGCGGGAGGGAGGGGGGGGGGCGAGGCAGTTCGAACCCCACATTTCTCTTCCAGCCCATTAAAGTTCAGGACGACTGCTGTAGGGCAGTGTGATTACGGCTTCCACTGCAGTGGCCACGGGGGAACGTACACTACAGCCGTGCCGCCACCGCCGTGCACGACTTCGATATAGAGGAGTGTGTATATTACTATAATACGTCAGTCGTATCCTGTCTTGTGCGTTACCTCCTCACTCTGTGCACGTGATCGAGTCCCCTTTTGTTGCTCTCTCCCCTGCTGCTCGCGTTGCTCTAATTGAGCTGGTGGGGGGGGGGGGGTAGGGCGGTCCGGCCCTGGTTTTCCAGGTGCCGCACGCTGTCTTACGTAGCACAATCCCGCTCGGTGTCGGGAAAACGGTAGCACACCTCCCTCCCCACGTGGTGTGGCTGTCCAGAATACCCGGGCTGGACAAGTGTACAGATGCACCGCGCACTGCTATAGGGCGACCGCCGCAGACGATGCCACCCGCGTGCAGTGTGCCAGGAGCGCAGAGGCGACGACCGGGGTGGGTTTTTCTCGCGTTGGAGGTTGTATTTGTGCGGATTTAAACTTGTCGCATCCTCTCGCAGGAGGGGTTATTTTAGGGATGACGTGTCGCTCGTTGGCGTCGAGGCGAGTGACGCTCGTCGAGAGGGGTCCACGGCGTCCATCTTCTGAGAGAATCGCGCGGAGTGAAGCTCTTCCCCCACCCCACCCCCCCTTAGTTCACGCACGTGCTCTGCCCTCATCTCCGCAGCCGTGCATGTTCATGTTGTAATTTTACTCTCGCGTTTCCCTGCAGGAACCGGCAGGGAAAGATCAAGTTGCGTTGGGTAGCAGCAGCCTTTGGTGGGGAGGATGTGGTTTGTTACAGTTACAGGCAGTCCACATCTCTTTTCCGCGGACATTGGCTGTCGGCGGAATAGAAGCAATCATAATTTTGCTGTGTTTTAAAAATATCAATTTTACGACAAAGTATCAAATAGACTCGGGAGTATCCTCGTTTTGTTTTTTTTACGGCTCAGGCCGTTGCTCGTGTAAAGCCCCCCCGCGCGCGCGCGTGTTTTTTGTGTACATTTGTGTATGTACCGCATTTCGTTTGCCAAATTATGAAAAAGGAGGCATCTTTCTGTTTCTTGATGGGCAAAGGGGGGGGGGAGAAAGGGTTTGGAATGTCTGCATTTGTACGGCTGCGAAATAAATATATATACATGAAGAATAAAAACTAGACAAAAACTGACATGGCCTGAGCTTCGTGAACACATCGCACGGCAGTCGTGGTGGGGAGGAGGGAAGATGGGATTGCGTGTGGGTGTGGTGTTCAGAGTGACAGACCATGGGACCTTGCTTCACAAGCCTCGAACATTGTCGAAGAGATTCGACATACAGGTCCATAACATATTCCAAAGCATTTGAATGGTTGTGGCATCACCGCACTTATTGCCAAGCTACCAACATCTGGAGAACTCAATCTGCAAGCGTAAGCTTTCTGATCAATATTGCCAGTAGTTTAAGGCAGCCCTGGTCTCATTTGTACTATTTGGTTCTTTTGGTAAAGTCACGTAGGTAATAAAATAAAATATTTTTAAAAAAATTCTACCTGCGTGACTTTACTGAAAGAACCAAAGAGTATGGATTCTGCAGTCACGAAAACTTCCAAGCAAGATTGGTCTCATTTTGCTTCAATTACACGGCTCTGAGGCCGATTTCACAGTGGACAACCTCCAGCAGCGTTACCCCAGGGCCCAGAGCCTCTTCTTCGTCTGGACAATGGCCGACGACTGCTGCACCCCCCCCCCCGCCCCAATTACACCACGGATCACCAGAAGCTGTAAAAATGCGTTTTAATTTGGCACAGGTTACATTTAAATGGGGGTTGGGGGGGGGCAGACACGGGAGGTTTCACGTACGCAGGATTTTCTCACTTGGACCCTGTGGCGTGCGTTACTCTCCAATGTTTTAAACGTTTAAGCTGGAGGGGGTGGGGCTTGATTTTAATTTTTTTGTTACATTTAAAAAATGTCGATTATAAAGCGTGGCAGCATGCGTGCGCCGGAATGACTTAAGAAAAGGGAATTTCATTCCGTTTCTCCTCCAAGAGCGACGGACGCTCTTCAGGCGATGCGGAGTCCTTGAATGGACGACTCCAGGCTCTGAAAAACAAAGACCGCACGCGGAGGACACTCCCGGTGTCATCTAAAACCGCTCCGGTTTGGGAACGACGATCAGCCCACCCTTCCCCCCGCCCCCCCCCTGTACGAGCCAAGCCAGCACGGGGGCCCCCGCGGTAGCGGCCGGTGGATTCCAATCGCGGCGTTCTCAACGTGGGTCCTCTCTGTTGTGATGTGCGGTGGGTAAAACTGAATCGGCAACAACGCCGAGCCAAAGCTTCGCGCCGCAACACGCCGCCTCTCTCACCTTGCAGTCCCAGATGGTCATGGCCCCGTCCATGCCGGTGCTGCAGAACTTGCTGCAGCTCTTCTTGTCGCCCGCAACGATGGACAGCTGCCTGCTCGCACGGAGACAAAGACCATCCCCCGCCCGTATAGACTTATCAGACGTTTGGGGCAAGAGCACCTATGAAGGCTGGCACGGCACACGAGGGGGTAGGTGACCAACACCACGCCTGGCTGCCTTTGTCTCCCCAGTGGCGATGTTTAGACACCGCACCGGATCCTTATTTGAGGCCAAGGCGACCTAGGGGAGAGGCCCATTACCAGTTCAGATAATCGTCACCGGTATGGGCCATGAGCAGGAATCCGACATCGGGTCGCCGGGTTCGAAGCGCAGCAGCGCTAACCGCTACACCACCGATCCCCACACACACACATAAAAAATGTACATGCACAAAAACGTACACACAGGTGCGGTGCCGGGGGGGGGTGGGGGGGGGCGGGGATGGTGGGTGCGGGAAACTTACGTGATGCTGTTCTGGTGCAGCGTGTCCAGCGCCGCTTTGCCCTCGTCGGCCGCTGCACGCTTGTCCATGTTGCGGAAGCGCTCCATGGCCGAGAGGTTGCGCTGGGAGCTCTGCTTGGGCACGTCCAGGCGGCCGCCCAGCGCCAGCGCGCCGCCGTTGTACGTGAAGAGCAGCGGGCAGCAGTCGTGGCCCTGCCGGGGCGCGCACAAATACAAAGATCCCCCGTATAGCCTTAAAAGACTGTTGGGGCAAGTGCTGTTAGAGAGCACCTATGGAGTCAGGAACGGCACACGAGGGGGGGGCGGGTGGCCAGCGCCACGCCCAACCGCCTTGCCGCAGTGCTGTCCGTGCTCGCGTGTATGTGGAGCTGCTGGTGATGGTGGTTGCGATGCTGATGGTGGTGGTAATGGTGACGCTGGTGACCGTGCAAGCGCTCAGCAGGGGATGATATGAGAGACTCACAGCAGCCACCAGGCTGTTCTCGGTGATGAACATTAGCGCCAGCAGCGGCAGATACTCTGTCTTCAGCTCAGTCACACTGCACAAACGCACACACAGACACGCATACATGTCTCATGTCCAATGTTTCGCTTCACGTGCTGGGAGCATCAGTTCAGTCTCCAGTACGACCTGAAAGCACGTCGCTTAGAGCTACAGCTGCCACAGGGCAGCGAATTTAATTTCAGAACCGCGAACCGGCCACACGGCCACGCGACGGTTAGACGGGACAGGTAGGCTGGCTGGGTGGGGGGGGGGGGGATGGGGGGCGGCACTCACGCCATGTTCTTTGCCGCGTCCGACACGAAGACGGTGCTGTCGTGGCTGACCCACGCCAGCCGGTCCCCACTAGCTGAGAAGTTCACGCTGTGAACCCAGCCGCCAGCGCCAGAGCCGAACTCTGCCATCACCTGGCCGAAGGTCATCTTGGTGCCCCAGGATGTGGGTGAGGGCTTAGCGTCCACCTCCTTGATGTACCCCGAGAAGATGCTGCCACCCCGGGTGCATACGAGGGGCGGACGCACAGAAAGAGAGACCAGGTCATCGTCGCCGTCGCAACCGATCTCGACAAGAAGCATAAATCATCGCGCGAACTCAGGGCATCCTCGCAGCGGCAGCTTTTGGCGAGCCCATCGAACAAAGACGGTCACCACATCGTTCGCTTTCAGATCCGCTTCTGCGGCGGTCTGGAACGCTCTTCCTTCCCATCTAAGGAAGCCACTGGGACCAGAGCAACCAAAATCAAAGCGTGCTTAGGCGTCGTGGCTTCAAAACACAGACGCAATGCACTTTCATTCATCTGAACAGCACTAACTGCACTTGCCCCGACACCTCAAAGAGTCTACATACAAGGGGGGAAGGGAGCGTTGTCTGTGTGTGTGTGCTCGTGCGTGTGTGCATGCGTGCACGCGCCCTCACCGACACTTGAAGTCACAGGAGCCGGCCGCCAGCAGCACGTTGTTGGGGTGCCAATCCAGGCTGAGCACGGTGGAGCGGATGGGCTTCTTGATGTGCTTGCTCACCCACCTTCGTGCACACGCACGCACACACACCGACGATTAGCACGGTTGGCTACCATATTGATGTGCTTGCTCACCCACCTTCGCGCACGCGCACACACACCAACTGCTTGCTCACCCACCTTCGCACACGCACACACACCGACTGCTTGCTCACCCACCTTCGCACACGCGCATGCACACACACCGACTGCTTGCTCACCCACCTTCGCACACGCACACACACCAACTGCTTGCTCACCCACCTTCGCACACGCGCATGCACACACACCGACTGCTTGCTCACCCACCTTCGCACACGCGCATGCACACACACCAACTGCTTGCTCACCCACCTTCGCACATGCACACACGCACGCGCACACACCGACGATTAGCACGGTTGGC